GGTGTGCACTGCGATGACCACGACTGCACCATTGAGAACGTGTGGTGGGACGACGTGTGCGAGGACGCTTTGAGCATCAAGGGCGGGACCGCCTCTAGTGTGACCACCGTCACGAACTGCGGCGCTCGCTATGCCTCGGACAAGGTGGTCCAGCACAACGGATACGGCACCGTCAAGATCGACGGCTTTTTCGCCCAGGAGTTCGGCAAGCTGTACCGTTCGTGCGGCACGTGTGGTGACATTCCCCGTACTGTGACGGTGGACAACGTGTACGCCATCGATCCGCTGGTGAGTGTCATTACCGTGAACAAGAACTATGGCGACCAGGCCAAGCTGAGTAACATCCACGTGAAGACGACGAACGGCAACAACGATGTGAAGGTGTGTCAGTGGTCGCAGGGCGGCAGTTCGCCGTCGAACCTGGGCGACGGTCCGTCGGGTACGCTGTGCCAGTACTCGGAGAGCGATGTCCACATCAACGAGTAAATGTGCGAACAGTGTCTGTTGTAGAGGAAACGTATAGTATTGTAGCTTATGTGGCGTTCGTGAGTTCTCAAGCTAAGAATGACTGTGTTTCTTGAAGATGTGACGTTTGTTCCGTTAGTCGAGTTTCCTCCTGTGGCGACGACCAAGGTGAGATCCTCAATGCCATGTACTGTACTGTCAAACAACCAGTACGAAGCACGCTAAGTTGCGCTAAGTGACTGCGATGCAACGAGAAAATGGCATCTCGAGGCTTTGTCGAGGAGTTCGATAGAGGCTTTGAAAGCGTTTGCAACTTGAAAATTGCTGGGTGGAAACCTAGTCAACAATTTATTGTAACAACGACTTCAAAAAAAAAAAAACGGTAGAAAGGCAAGTGAAGGAACAACTCGTCATGTACATGTAATCTTGCTACGAGCACTCTACCAGACCAGGAGGAAGCCACAACGAGGCCACCGTGAAATTTGCACGAATTTCGCTGCTTCTGTGCGCATACGCCCTATAATCAATCCGAGAGTTTTGCTCGTTGTTGATGCACCACACTGTGATCTGCTGCGGCGCAGGCTTCGCAAAATCGTGTCGTGAAGCCTGCGCCTGTCTAAACTCTAAGACATTAACGCGAGCCTTGTGGTCACTTCGGTGTCTGGTACAATAACAACAGCAAGCTTCACTCTGCTGGTCAATCTTCACCAATGCTTCCTTTGCATCCTCCCGCGAATGTCACCATGATGACAACGATACAGGTTTGCGAACAACCGCCATGTTACGGACGGTAAAAAGGTAAAAGCGCCACCTCCACTCCAATCCTTGAATTCTCTCTCCAGCGAGCCTTGACTCAAGCATATTTTGTTCAAGACATTCCAGTCTAATAATTGGGATTAACGTTGGAAACGAGGCGCGGCTATCCGAACTGCACATTCCGTGTCCCCTTTCTGAGTGCTTGGCAGACGAGTAAGGAAAACTCTATGTGTGTAGCGCTATTGGCGGCCGTCTCTGGTCAATTAGGAACGTGGTGCAAAAGCATCTGGATAAACCCCTAAAAATTGCCTGCATGCATTCGTCAAGATAGACTTTGGCTTGAAACCAAGTTTTTTATGGTGGAATTCATGCTCAAATCCGAAAACTGAAGCCTGCGAGAACTATTTTATCACACCACATGTGCCAGGGAAAACCCAGCGATCGTACGGAGCGTCCCAGCCTAAAGCACCGCTGCTCATTACAGGAAAAACTCGCTCTTCGGCACAGAAGCCGTTGTGTGGGGGATCCAGCATGAAGACGGGTCTCACTCCGTTGGTACTGTGTGCAGCTCTGTTGATCTCGTCAGCGGCGGCAGGTGGGGAGACCAAGACCGGCGTGGGAGCGTCGAAAACGTCAACGGGTCTGGACACAGGAGACGCGTACCTGGGCGCGGTGGACGCGAACCAGAAGAACAGTTACGATTTCAAATATGTTAACAAGGATAGCGATACGTCTGAGCGTGATGGAACTCTCGGTGACTCAGTCGTCGCCGGTAAGGAAACAGACGCCTCGGCATCGCCGGGTGTTGTGACGTTGTCCCCCGAATTGAAGAAGGAAGCGGGTATTGACAAGGGAGCGATGAGCACCGCCGCGAGCGCTGCTACGGGTACATCCGTCGAACAGGGTGTCACTGGAAGCACCTCTGGTCCTCAGCTGACCCCAGCGACGAAATCGGACGGTGATCCCAAGGCCACGAAAGGAGGATCGGCACCGACGCCGGCACCAGCACCAGCACCAACCCCGGCACCGGCACCGGCACCGACACCGGCGAGCACCCCGGCAAGTGACGAAACCGATGCGTCGAAGGAAACCGAGGAATCGTCGGACGCCCCTCCGTCAACGCCGGCGACACCAACTTCGGGCGGTGAGCAGTCGAAATCGAAGGACACTCAGGAGTGGACGAACGCTCCTCAATCGACGCCAGCGAGCACTCCAGCTACCGATGACGACCAATCCGGCGATGACGACCAGTCCGGGGATGATGAACAGTCCAAGTCAACGGACACCCAGGAATGGACAAATGCTCCGCAGTCGACGCCAGCGAGCACCCCAACTACAGACGACGATCAATCAGGAGATGATGAGGAATCAAGCGATGCCTCGGAGTCATCGGACACTCCGCAGTCGACCCCAGCGGCCACTCCTACGACCGACTCGTCGCAGTCAAATAACCAGTGGACACCTGCTCCGAACCAATCGAACAACCAGCAACCTACTCAGGCTCCTAACAACGAGGCACCACAGCCGACTCAGCCCCCTCAAGCTTCAAACAACGAAGCACCCCAGCCAACCCAACCCCCTCAAGCCTCAAACAATGAAGCACCACAGCCGGCACAGCCTGGTCAGAATTCGCACTGGCAGGGTAAATGGGGAGACAACTCGCAAACTCCCGCCAATAACGGAAGCCAGAACTCGAACGGGCAAGGCGGCTGGGGGTCTGCCACTCAGACCCAGCCTACGCCTGCTCCATCGACGCCCTCCGACTCAAGCCAGGAGTCGAACCGCGATTCTCCTGTTCCTACTGAACCTACTTCCTACGCGAGTACACCTGCCACAGCTCCGTCTCCTCCTGTATCGAACTGTAAGGTTCGCCGCGCGAGGCACTGAGTAGTGGTTTCTATTGTAGGCAAATAGCCTTACTGTTAGATTTGTTGCGTTGAGTGCTTCGTGTGGAAGTTTGCACAC